TAATATCTATTTGGGGGGGGGGGGGATGGAAATAAAGAGATAAGCATATCAATAAGAAAATTAACCCCTGAGGTAAGAGGCCACATCCAGAAGGTTCAACATCTCTCTTTCTGGAGCTCCTGAAAGAGAAAACAGAAAACTGTAGGAAGGAAAACAGCAAAAACACAGGGAAATATTCCAGAATCTCTGAACTAAGAACCACACCCCCCTCCCAAGTATGTAGCACAATGAATGAAAAAGATCCAGGCCAAGGCTATACATTTGAGAAATTTCATAATATCACGTGCAAATTTAAAAGTAATTATTAAATCCTTCCCTAGGCTGGATGGAATACTGGAATTCAGAGTGGAACTGTGACTTCGTGTCAAGAGAGGCAGCCAGCCCAATGAAAACTATAAGCTCTTAATAGTTCTCAGTGATTTCCGATTTCAGACACCATTTCACCTTTTAAACTGTCTGTTTGCATTGTCCCCACTTCTCAGACAAGGGGTAAGGAGATACACTGAACAGGAAACCTAGGATGACATTTTTTCAAACCTTCACAGATAACACAGTTCACTAATATTTAGGTGTGTTTGTTTCTGAACATGTGTAAGTGGACAAGTTGTTAGGAATGCATATCCAGTTTCCTAAAGATACTGAGCCTGGTTTCTAATTTTTTTCTAATCCACCAGGTCATTTTTTTGGGAAGCTGTTTCAAATTTATTTTTCTGTAAGAAAAAAAAAATTTGTTTTGCTAATTGTGAGCAATTTGTAATTTTTAAAAAATGTATTTTATTCATTTTTCACAGAGAGGAAGGGAGAGAGTGAGTTAGAAACATCGATGAGAGAAATAACAATCAATCAGCTGCCTCTTGCACTCCACCTACTGGGGCTGTACCTGCAACCAAGGTACATGCCCTTGACCGATATTGAACCAGGGACTCTTCAGTCCCCAGGCCAACACTCTATCCGCTGAGCCAAACCAGTTAGAGTTTGTATTGTTTTATTATTATTATTATTATTATTATTATTATTATAGCTGCCATAAAATATAAATGTTGAAACACTATGTTCTATGTGAAACTAATAAGGTATTGTATGTTTTCCAGGTCAATTAACCAACTGCTTCTTTGGGTAGATGTACGGAGCAGACTGATAGGCTTCCTTGGTAGATGTGACATGAAGAGCAGTGACTGTTCTGCAAACTTGTTTGCATAAGCACCCTTGAGGTACATGGAATACAGTTGTCTTTTCTCCTTATGTATGCAATCTCCATCATCTTCAGATTCCTTCGGTGGGTTTGGGCTTTAGGGACCCTCTTCAAATTCCCTTCCCACACCGTAATTCTACAGTTCTGCCAATAAACAAGATAACATGATTCAAATGAATCAACGGCATCAATAAGATGGTTTTGTCTACCATGCCAAGGGAAGCCCAAGTGGTCAGACGTTCTCTTTATCAAATCTTCCAGGGTCCTCAGGCTGGTAGAGAATCTGTAGGTGGGCATGGAATGAATTTAAGTGAAAAATTGAGTGGCTAGCTCACCAAGATGGAGGGTTGCAGTTTCCTGTGAGCCCAGAGACATAGTTAAGGAGGACTGTGATGAAGAGCTCTTCAGTCTCAGCTGCTGCAAACAGTGCTAGGAATGGAAACAAAAGCAGTCGGTGGTGGTGACCACAACCCAGAAGCTGAAACCACACTCCAATTTTGCACAAAACTGCTAGTTGTGGCTCTTCTCTTTGCTTGGACTTCAATTAGACTGTGAGGATTATATTTAGTTGTGTGTCAGATAACATCCTGAAAGTAGACTGGAGAAAACCATTTTGCCCTCAGTCATTTGTACTAACCCACCCATTGTCAGTAAAGATGTTTTCTAACATGCTAGCTAGCACAGAGTATTGAGGTCAATGCAATCCTGGAGTGAAAAGTGGAAGGAATAGCCAAAGTGGCTCTGAAGAAGGACAAGAAGGCTGAGAAGGAGGGAGAAGGAGACAAGGAGGAAAAGAAAGGGTGAGTTTCCATTTGGAGTTAAATTGATGTGAATATTTTGATTACTCTGATAATTAACAGTATATAAAGAAAATGGTAAGACCTTCTTATAAAGATAAAACCAATTACCAGCTTTATTGGGCCAGCATGCTATTGACAATTGGTTACCAGTAGCTTAAAACTGTTTAATTTTTTCATCCTAAAACCCCTCTTTGGGGGAACACAATAAACCCTCGATTTTGTGGACCTCAATTTAATGGACTTCAGATTTTTTTTAAAAAATTAAATCTTTATTGTTGAAAGTATTACACATGCCTCCATTTTTTCCTCCACGGACCCATTCCATCCCACCCAATCCCCCACCCTGGGCCTTCATCACCCTATTGTCTGTGTCCATGGGTTATGCACATATACATACAAGTTCTTTGGTTGATCTCTTCCCACCCACTCTCCCCCATCTTCACGCTAAGATTCTGCAAGGCATGTGGTAATTGATTGTATTGTCACATAGTGGTATGACTCTCTGCAGCAGTTCCCAGGGGACATGCCCTAAGCCACGCCCCAACCATGTGCATTTGCTTCCTCAAGGTGGCTGGCGAATGCAAGCATTTACTAGGCCTGATGGTAAAAATTACTGTAATAGATGTAGAAAAGTGTGAAATTAAACTTTTCCTGCATACTTAATGTTAATTACACAAGCCTGTCTACCTACGTAAAAACAGGTAAACTAACTCATTTGTCAATTAAGCATTCAGAAAACCAACTATATTGTAAAATGTACTTTTAGCTTTAATGAACACCCCCCACTCAAATTGTCCACGATATCAATGTTTTATTATAAAAATAACCAAAGAATTTCAAAGTGAAATTTGCCTTCCATTGTTTCGTCTTGAGTTCTTCAACAGTGAGATCCAACACTTCTTTTCTGTAAGAATTCTGAGTTATTACTTGATACATACTAGTAATACAGATTCAAGGTTGTTAAAAACTAATAAATGGATAAGTGGATGAGCAGAGAATGATCTTAGAAATACTGAGTTATGCAAAAGCTTTGATAGATCAAAGAAAAACATTCATTTCAACCTGCACCCTCTTTCAAAATTTGCATTTGGGAACAAGCAAAAATTTTGGAAAGAACCTCTTAGGGAAGTAGTTGAAATTTGATGTTTGTAGGGTAGAGACTGTACACAAAGAGGACAACATTTTCAGGTAATTTATTTGAAATGCTCCCAGAAAGTTTAAGGCCATGATATAAAAACATTCATTTTCAGAACATTCATTGACTTTCTTCCCAAAGGTCAGCTCTCGATGGACTGCTTTTCCTGACGCACTGGCCAAAGTGTCCGATGGCTCCTGCAAAGAATGAGCCATTTCTTTCCCACCATCAAACACCTCTCTGCTTCCGTCTGCAGCAGGTTCATTCACTCCCAAAGTCAGTAACAACTTGAGAAACGAAGCAGTTTTAAATAAACTTGCAATAGAAAAAAAAATTCACCGTGGGTTAAGATCTATAAATACGGAAATAAGCTTACAGGGTAAAATTGACCACAATATCTTTTGTTTTTAAAAATAAGTAATATACCTTGTTTCTATATTGATAAATCTTGTCACACAGCTTCTCTAAATGCACATGACAGCTGCACGTAATAAAACGACAACATAGTATTTACTGCTTTCTTTTCTGTAAACTTGAAAGACACAGAAGATTTAAAAAAAAAAAAAACCTTTTTGGCAATAATTTAGCATCGTGACTACTAGTGCTGGTGTGGGTATAACTTTGCACAGGTCACCCCTAATATTTACACTCACAGGAGCTTTTCTGTGAATTCGGTAACTTTTTTAAAGGTCTAAGACCCACTCTTTGTTGTCAATCAAGGCTGGACAAAGAGATACTAGTTTGGCTACCTGATCCTAATTAATCATAGAGTTAATTAAGTTGGTCTTTGGAGAAGGTAACGGTGACTCCCAGGACAGAGCCAGAGACGGCAACCTCAGGACCCAAAAGCAGAGCAGGAAAGCCTGAGACTCTGGCTGCTTCCGGAAGGGCGCTGGACCTTGCTTTGCTCTTTCACCATTTCTCACATAAGGTCCTGATGAACGCACTTCTTCCAAACTCTTCTCACGTCTCTATAAACAGAGTTGTTGACTCGGTTTCAGTCCTTTTCCCTCATCCTTTCATTCATGCTCTGACAGGTGCGTAGGCCTTGGCAGATGAAACACAATGGCAATGGGCTTCCTTGCTACCCTGCCAGGTTTCCCCGAGATTTATTCTGATATTTTAGGCTAGAAACAGCTCTCCTAGGCAGGCCAGCAATGATGACAGAGACTCCGGGTGCAATGCACATTTCAGTATAAGAGTCAGAGCGGACAGCTGCTTTTGCGCTGGTCCTGGGAAGGCCAGACTCTGGTTCATGCCCTAATATTATTGCATCAGATTTGCACTGGATGACATGACAAGGTCAAGAGGGTATTTCTTCCTTTGCAAAATGAAGCCTTCAGGGCCCCCAGGGATGTTGACATGCTCTGTGGTTGTATAACATCGAGTCAAGTTCACTGCCAGCATCGATCTTTCCCAGTTGTCCTTCGAATGCCATCATGGCACACAAGCCACTTCCTCGTGCCCTGTGTGCTAGGCCCCCTAACAACTGTGCCTTCAGCTACCACACCAAAGAGCTAGAAAAGCACTAGAAAACATGGGAGGACTCGAAGAATCTACATGAAACAGTAGTTGAGAGACTCCTTTTCTATTTTTTTTTTTTAATCCAGCAGGACATCTGAGAATAAGTTGTTCAAGTACCTCTTCATCCATCCAGACACTTGTGAAACACAATACAGGAGAACAGGCCACAGACTCCAGCTCACACAGACACACGGGCAGTTACAGTACGAGGGACAAAGATACAGACACGAGAGACTGGGTTGACACGGTCACAACTTATTAAAAAGTGCTTCTCCAACTGTTCCGTGAGTGGAATGCAAATACTGTACAGGTAAGACACAGGGCTCCTTCCAGGAAGCACTGGCTTCTGTCAGACATTGCTTTCAACGTGCTTGCTGTTCCCACAGGAGGAGTCCGTCTGTTCCATGCGCTCGCAGTCGAGGCTGACCTCACTCGTGTCCATACTGCAGTCTGAGTCACTGTCCGATTGGTCCATCTGCTCAAGTTTCGTTTCTCCCAGCGGCTCCCTGCTCCCAGCAGCGGGATTTAGGAACGGTCCCTCGGAGCCCGGCACCCCGGCCTGCCCGGCAGCGCACAGCACGGTTTCTTTGGCTTGGCGGATACAGTTGAGCCACTGCTGTTTGTTGAAGGTGTCGTTGGCTTGTAGTGAGTGAGTCTGACTTTGGGATCCATTTTTGAAACTTACTCTAAAGAAGTTTTTAACTAGAAATGAAAACACATGAAAAAAAAAAGGTCAATGGACAGATACTCTCCCAGGCCAACAGAATAATTGCAGTGACACTAACCCAGGTCCCCATGGCACAGGCATCACTGACTGATCACAAATGTGTCCCACGGGTCCAGGACATGGCTCAGCAGTGCCCTGCAGCCACCGTCCGTCAACCAGAGTTGACACCGGTCTAGCTCTCAGCTGCCCTCAGAAGCTAGCAAATGGTATCAGCCCGGAAAAACTAAGTCACGTTTCAGGGGACCCCAGCGTACTGGTCACCCAACCTGGCTGTGTTATCAAAATGCCCCGAGGAGCTTATTAAAAACATAGGTTCCTGGGCCCTACCCTTAGAGATTCAGAATCACTAGGTCTAAGGTGTGCCTGATAGTCTGTGATTTCAACCATTTCCTCACCTGGAGAGTGTTTCAAGTTCCAGAAGCTCTTTGTAACATCAAAACATGCCTATGAGCCTCCACGATGGAACTTTTCATTTAGTATCCAGTGATTGAGAAGATACGTAATGACGCAGAGCGGTTACGAATTCAGTTTCATCGAAAAATGAAGTTACATGTTTAAGATCTCAACAGGAATTTGTGTGCATTTAAAAAACAGGAGTGCACACTGTGAAAGACATTTTATTTAGTTTAATAACAACACCAACTGGCATTTAACGCCCCACATGCCACGTGCACCACTTGGTTCAAGAAGCATCTGTGTCCGGCCAGTTCCCTTGCATACCCCTGCAGTCAAGACTGGGAGCCGCCTCCTCCTCACGTACATTTGGCTCCACTCTTTGTCTTGGGCAAGTGCCTTCACTCCTTTATGTCTCAGTTTCCTTATTTGAAAAATGAGGGCAACAAAGAGAATCTGCCTTATATGAGATGATTATGAGGAATAACGGAAGTCCTTGTACAATGCCTGGCATGTAGCCAGTATTGGAGAAATAAAAGTTACGACTACTACTTCTACCATCACTAGGGGGAGGACTGATGAGTAGCTAAGAGGTAGTACATATTAATGATTCTGACAATATGATGCGAATGTTACCCCAAAAGTCAAAATGTCACTTTCTCAAAGAAGGCTGTCCTGGCCACCTCATCTAAAACAGATCGCCTACTGCTATCCCCTTACTTGGGTTTAGAATCCTTAACAGCACCCAGAATATTTCTTTCTCATCTACCTCCTCCATCACAATGTAAACTCCATAGGGGCAACACCATTAACTGTTTGTTTACCAGGGTGTACTAGTGCCTAGAAGAGCACTTGACACACAGAAGATACTCGATGGCTATCTTAGCTCCCCTTCGTTAGCGCCTTTGCTTATTCAGCCTCAAGTTAGAGAAGCCCAATCGAGCCAGTACAAATGAACCAGCAGCCCAAATGACCATTCGTATGTCTCTTTAGACAGCTCCACTACAAAAGGCATGTTATGCAACTGGTGTTCACAGAGGAACTGTCTGGTATGAAGCACGCTTTTATACAATAGGAAGAGAGAGAAAGGAGCTTAAGAAGCACCAGTTCAGTTATGTACAGGCAGGTTCACTTGCAGCATCTTACTTAAAACCCTTAAAACCACCTTATGGAGTAGGTCTGCCTGCATCCCCACGTGGCACATGAAAAACCGAGGCTCCCCGAGATTGAACAAGGCTGCACAACCAGTAAGCAGTGAGATGGCTCTGGGAGGCAGTTCAACTCCAAGGCCATGGCTCTTCTCTCTTCACCAGCAGCCACTCCCTCTGAACCACCTCTGCACTAACCACGCAACCGCTTAGAACATACTTCTCTCGTTGTTGCTGAATGCCCCGCGCAGGGAGCCGCCCAGCCTCACTTCTCCATCCTGCAGGTCCTCCAGCAGGAGGTCCTTCACGGGGATCGGCTGCCGGTACAGCTGGTAGCAGAGCTGCTCGTTGTGCGTGATGGCTCGGGTGATCACCAGCACTTCTTGGAACAGGAAGACGTGCAGTTTCTAGGAGAGAAGAATCCACAGGATGAGTAGCTGGTTCCTGGACTAAGAGGCCCACAGGTACCAAGGTCACACTGGATGATACACCTCAGGCTCAAATGCACCTCCAGGGAAACAGAAGTCAGGAGGTCCTAGGCATTTCCAGATGCACCATTGCCTTTCTTATAGGATCCTTCCCAGGGCCCCATGGAGAAGGTCTTTCTGCCTACACACAGCAGCAGCCAGGACTGCCTGCACATTGCAACTCAGAACCTGTGCAGACTCACCTGGCCCCAGCTCCCATATGAAAAAGGGCAACAGAATAAAGAAGGGGAGTGAGGGAGGGGAGGATAATACCTCCCTGACTTTTGTTTACATTACTCAATATAATCCTAAGAGATCAAAATGAAATAATCTATAATAATAAAAGCATAATATGCTAATTAGACCGGACATCCTTCCGGAGGAAGCCGGGGCTGTGAGGGAAGCCGATGCCGGCAGCTGGGGAAAGGAAGGCCTACTCTTGCACGAATTTCATGCATCGGGCCTCTAGTAGTCTATAAAGGATAAGACTGGTATATCAAAGCTTATTATTAATCTCTTCTCCCCAAACTAAAACAAACAAAACAAAACACAAACACTTGTTCCTTCAACCACAGAGCTGATTACCAGCTTCATCCAGGCTCCCCCCCTCGGAACACTGCCCGTTCCCGGAGAAAACAGAGCATGCTGCTGCAGCCAAGAGAGAAAAGATCAAAGACGCCGTCCCTCTCAGTTGAGTTCATCAGAACCTCAGCTCTCCGAAGAGCTTGTGTTTAAAAGCCTGACGACTGATGTGTGTGCTGTGGGCAAAAGAAAATCTCAAAAATAAAGGCTTGTGTCAAACCACATCATGAAAGCACTTTTGCCGGGTGGAGGAGGGGTAAACGGGCTCCATTCAGTTTCATGTGCCAGACAGACGCTTCTCACTGTAGGAAATGCTTAGTGAGTGAACTGAGAAGATCCACCACTCTGCAGCTGGGTTTTGGCTTTCTAGTATTTGGGATTGTCAACTTAAAAGTCTCAAAAAGGAAATGAGTAGAAACTCACATTGGAAAAAAACATTTTTTTTTTTTTGGTTATAGAATAGCATATATTTTTCTCTTACTTCATGAGTTAGTTTTTAAAATAATTTTTCAAATTTATGCTCCTGGTAGTAATCTTATTACCTTCTTTTTTATTAAAGTATAGTTGACACAATGTTACACTAGCTTCAGGTATACAACATAGTGATTTGATATTTAAGTACCTTACAAAGTGATTACTATGTTAAGTCCAGTAGCCATCTGTCACCATACAAAATTACTATGATATAATTGACTATATTCCCTGTGCTGTACATTATATGCTGTGATGTAATTAACATTTCCAAGCCTGCTCTTAAATGCCATTTCACAGTGCAGGTCAAAATGATATCCCTTGAGTTATCACAGCTTGATTAAGAACTCTCCAATACAGTTTTGGCTGACCAGCCAGCATGGTTCAATGGGTGAGTGTCGACCTATGAACCAGGAGGTTTGATTCCTGGGTGATGGGCTTGATCCCAGCAGGAATGTGGAAGAGGCAGCCGATCAATGCTTCTCTGTCATCATTGATGTATCTCTCTCTCTCTCTTTCTCTTCTTCTCTGAAACCAATACAAATATATTTAAAATATAAATACAGTTTTGGCTTTCATCCCAAGATATTGAAGATAAAATACAATAAAAGTGGAGACTCTTTGTCAACACTGAATTTAAATATATAGGATAGATAATAAAGTTTATGTATTATATAAAATATATTTTGCATTATAACATAAAAATTATAACATATAACATGTATTAGCATTATTTTCTACTGACTATACATAAAAATAGCCTCATCAGTTGAATGACTTTTTAACTCTCATATAATTCAAATTCATCCTTTCTTTAAATAAGCATTCACTCACTCCCTCAGAATAGGTTCTGGGAATTTGACAGGGCACGGTCCTCTCTCAAAGAGCATGGATAATGGGAGATACTGACAGAGAGGCAGAGAGCTGCAACCTACTGCGGTAAGCGCTGCAGGGGAGATTTGTCCTTGATAGGAGAGGAAGAACAATTTCAGTTTCTATTCAGGAATAAAAGCCAGGAAATGGGGTGTCTACAGGTCAGAGGAAGATATACAGCTAATGGGAGGTAGATTACTATTTAAAAAAAACAAAACATTGGTCTCAAAATGTCAGTCTGTAGATGGGTACCAATCCATAGGAAAGAAAAGAGTTTCTCCCAATGCGAACTGCACTCCAAGTAAGAGCTGTTCCTCTGAGGTCACCCGCTGTTTCCCGATAGCCAAGCGGGAGGAGGTAACTGTTCTGTGTTTGCTTTTGAAGGTTATAATCAAACAAAACGAAACATGGGCAACTCTGTTGTTTTCCAAAATCCTTTCTATGTTCTGGTCATAAAACTAATACAACATATGTACACATAAATTATAAACATGTATGTGTAATATATGTTACTTATATGTAAATTATAACCATGTAATATATAAATGTATATAATTATACATATCCACGTATATGTGAGTCTCTGATATAAAAGACAACGGAGAAGCCATTTTTGTCTAAAGAATGTGGCCCTGGGCAGGGAAGGCAGGGTCACAGGAGGCTCAGCAGCAGATGGATTACGTGTTGGGGGGGGCCCAGGGGAGACCACCGAAGGGGAGTCACCACTCACCATGCCCCGGTTGTTTTTCAGTTCGCCGTGACAACACAGCACGCGCGAGCTGTCGATCAGGGAGTCCTTCTGGCCTTCTTCCAAGTAAAGAAGTCGTTCTTTGTAATAATGGCATTCCGACTCCCCAGTCTTGATGTTGATTTCTGCCACGATTCCCTGAATGATGTTTATCTATGGAAACAAAAAAATGTATGGGGAATGGAAGCAAATCACCCACGCTAACATGTCCCTGGGCCTAGAAGGTCACCATGATATACCTGGATCTAATTCTGAGATTCCAGTATCTAAGGGGAAGGGGACAAATACAATGCTGCTTTGAGAAAGGGGACAAATACAATGCTTTTAATATTCTGTATCTACCTATCCATCTATACACATACACACACAGACATATACATGTATTTATGTATATATACACATACATTTATTTGTACACACATACAGATATTTGTATCATATATAAAACTAATGTTGGTGAATAATCTTATCTGAGAGGACAAGATAGAAGGTACTGTTTTCGATATGCAGAACTCACAGCTACTACACACATTTAGGCCAAGGCCTCAGCACATGTGACCAAGTGAGGGGGTAGAGGGATTTCGAAGCAATGGTAGATGCAATGCAGCTAATATAAAATGAAGCAAAGCAAAACAAAACAGAAAGAGCATGGCACTGAGACATGATCAGGGGGCGTGAATTGTCCTATCACTTAGGTACATCTGAAAGTTAGAAAATACTAGAAAACAAAGGAACAAGAAATCAGTTGAGCAAAAAACCCTAAGACGCCAACCAAAGGCAGAGTAATGACTTCCGCTGTCCCCTAATAGTGAAAAGGCCCCAAGTCCCCATGGTCTTGTGGTGGCATTAACTGAGAGAACTTAAAAAGTTACCAGGTCTTGTAACATATTGAAGTGGTAGTGAATTGTTTCTAAGATGGTTGATTATTTTTTAAAAAATATATATTTTTTTGATTTTATACAGAGAGGAATTGAGAGGGATAGAGTTAGAAATGTCGATGAGAGAGAAACACCGACCAGCTGCCTCTTGCACACCCCACACTGGGTATGTGCCCGCAACCAAGGTACATGCCCTTGACCGGAATCGAATCCGGGACCTTTCAGTCCGTAGGCCGACACTCTATCCACTGAGCCAAACTGGTCCCGGAGATGGTTGATTATTTTTCACATGCGAGTGAAATGACCTTCTTCTCAAAGCAACTGGATGAAAACTTCTACCAGTTATAACTGGAGAATCCATGTGAGTGTGACAGAAAAGCATACCGCTCTGAGCTAGAGCCTGGTGACGGTAGCCTACAAACAGATGCATAATCTGTATACTTTTGTAGCTATTAAGAGTTTCAAAGATCGCCTTAGTTGGTTTGGTTCAGTGGATAGAGCGTTGGCCTGTGGACAAAAGGGTCCCAGGTTCGATTCCCAGTCAGGACACATGCCCAGGTTGTGAGCTCCATCCCTAGGAAGGGCCATGCAAGAGGCAGCCAATCCATGATTTTCTCTCCTCATGGATGATTCTCTCTCCCTCTCTCCCTTCCTCTCTGAAATCAGTAAAAAAGAGTTTCAAACATAATTTATTTAAAAGATATTTTTTATTGATTTCAGAAAGAAAGAGAGAGGAAGAGGGAGAGCAGAACTGTGAGGGAGAGGGAGAGGAAAAAAGAAAGGGAGAGGGAGAGGGATAGAAACATCAATGATGAGAGAGCATCATTGATTGGCTGCCTCCTGCACACCCTCTACTGGGGATGGAGCCCTCACCCTGGGCATGTGCCCTGACCGGGAATTAAACCATGACCTCCTGGGTCATACGTTGATGCTCAACCTCTGAGCCACACCGGCCGTGCTCCCCTCTTGGTTTTCAAAGATGACTGCTTATTTGTCACTACTTTAAAAAACAAACAAAAAGAAATGGCACAGAATATGCTACAGCTATGACTCATCCTTTAACTTAATTAAACTAATGTTTATTGAACATCTGTTCATTGTTAACATAGGTTGGGTGCATTCAAAGAAATGAGAGGGTCTCTATCCTCAAGAAGCTTAAAAATATTATATGGGAGGTATCTTGAGCCACTGATTGATTATCCTTTGACTTTGGTACATTTTTAATATGTTATAGAATCCATCTATTTCCTTGCTTTTTAGAGATTTTGGCATTAATTGTAATGACTCATTTTATAAGTTAATTACTACTAAGTATAACTGGGCAGCTGACATGAACCAGTACTTGAGTCAATTTTCTGAGTTTCCTGCAAGTGTCCAGGAAACCAGAAGGAAGATGCACCGCAGGCATAAAGACGTGTTCACTTCCTCATTTAACTCAGGAACCGAAGAGCTGGCATATCACATGAAGATTAATAAACTCAAACGCCACAGTGGCTCCTCGGGCAACTGTGACTACTTTCCAAGGTGCTCTTTTTTTTCTCTGGCGTTTGAAAGTATAAAGAGACGAAACAATGGAAACCATCCGTGTTATTCCATATTCTATATGTACATGTATAGTAGCGACTCTGGGTCTGCTTTATTAAAAATCTTATTTTGTATTTATATCCACCGGTACACTGTCAGAGCCTACTCTCTCTGCACTGGTTCCTGAGAGGAGTTTATTTTGTAGAATTTCATTGAGGAACAAAGCTAAATAGAGCAGACTGCCAAAAGCATCGCGGCAGTTGTACATTTAAATTAAATGTATTGTTGCCTCTCTCACCAAACCAAAGGGAAGGGACTGGAAACGGTATATGACGAGCGATACCTGGTAACTGACCAGGGATTAAGCCCACATATGCTGGATTCATCATGCTCAAAGTGGAATCTGAAAGCCCTGTCTGGCTAGTCCTTTGGGTGGTAATAGCATCTCCTCACAGGCCCCTGACATGAACCAACAATAGCAGCCTTCACTGCATCAAAAGCAGGACTGTTCTTCCCACTGATTGCAGTGAATTTTTTATTTTATTTTTATTTTTTATAGGAGTTGGGGAACAGTGATGAGACAGTCTGAAGGATCATCTTCTGGCTGGAACCATCCTGAGAATTTAAAACATTAAACAACTAGCTCCCGGAATATCTGAATATACAGTCCTATTTTAAGAATTTTTCTTTTTTTGGGGGAAATTTCTATGAAGCCTCCAAAACACGGTTAAGACATTCTAATAACGATGTGGTAGTTTATGCATGGCATTAGCAGCAAGACTTTCTTTAGATCTAAGTCACAGGTCTGAATGCTTGGTGTAGAAGCAGTTTACTTAGTGCTCTGTGTTTTATTTATTTATTTATTCCATTTTCATAGGTAGAACATTTATTCAGAGGACATATGAGTTAAGCTGCATTTATGTTTATCAAACATTCACCACGCACTCAAGAGCACAGGGCTAAATACTTCTGCTCATCTGGGGTAATGCTACAAGGATTTTGAAAAGAAGACTAAAAGTGCAGCGCCTACATTATGTAAGTGGGCATTCGGAAGACTTGCTTTGCAGGCATTTTCCAATGCGGTTTCCCCATGCTTCGTGCACAAACCTGCCTGAATGACCAGGTGCAGAGTCAACTTCGGAGACAGTCTTTTCTCTTTCTTCTCTGTCCTTACAAGGACGTCACATTTCCTGCACTAGGGAAATTGGTGCAAACCATCATATTCTTATCTCCCTGGCTTCCAGTTCAAGCTTTAGCTCATGGGGTATGTTTTTTATTTTTATTTATTTTTTATTTTATTTTATTTTAAAAATATTTTCACACTTTAAAAAAAATATATTTTATTGATTTTTTACAAAGAGGAGGAGAGAGGGATAGAGAGCTAGAAACGTCGATGAGAGAGAAACATCGACCAGCTGCCTCTTGCACACCCCCTACTGGGGATGTGCCCCAACCAATGTACATGCCCTTGACTGGAATCGAACCCGGGACCCTTCAGTCTGCAGACCGACGCTCTACCACTGAGCCGAACCGGTTTCGGCTTTATTTTTATTTTTTTACACAGAGTATTATTCTTTCATGCTGCATATTAAAAAGAAGAAATCTTCACAATAAAACTGTAAGCAAGCTCGTGTGCTTTAAAAAAGTAATTATTTAGACTAGCGTGAGCTCCCTGCTTTCATTCCTGCAGACCACACACTGGCTGGGATGAAATATGGAAAGGAGGCAACTCTATTGCACTCTCCCCAGTAATAAAAACAGACATGATGGAGTGAGATGGGCCTCACCCCAGTGCCCGCATTCCCCTTCGTGCTCGACTGCGGGCCTGGTCTGTGTGAGGCGGGCCTGCCAGACACCTCATGAATCAGGACAGTCTTTTCTCTTTCTTCTCTGTCCTTACAAGGAGGCACCGGCCCAGCTCTGCACCCGCGAGGCCTCTCCACAGAGCTTGGAGGACAGCTTCCTGTCATTCCAAAGGCAACAGGGCTCCGAGTGGCCAGGCTTTCCGCTCCACGGTATAGGATCACAAGGAAGTGGAAAGGGCCCTGGATTTGCAGTCTGCACTGACAGGTTCAGACAGCAGCCCCATCCCTTGCTAGCTCTTGACCCGACAAATTGTTTCCCCCTCCAAGCCTCATCTGGAAAATGGTCCTAACAAGAAGTTATCTCAGCCCTGACTGGTTTGGCTCAGTGGACTGAAAGGTCCATGGTTCAATTCTGGTCAGGGGCATGTGCCTTGGTTGTGGGTGTGCAGGAGGGATGTGTGCAGGAGGCAGCTGATCGATGTTTGTAACTCTCTAACCATCCCTCTCCTTTCCTCTCGGTAAAAAAAAAAAAAAAAAAAAAATCAATAAAATATATATGTTTTAAAAAAAGAAGTTATCTCATAGACTACTCTGAAGATGAACTAAGAGCTGGCTTACTAGGTATTCAAGAAACGTCTGCAGGTATTACTGTTAGTGTTGTTGTTACTACTTATTATTAAGCCCTTCTTTGGGAGGAGATGGGCAGGTTGCTCAGCAGGTTCAAGGTTTCTGATTTTCAAACCACCAACAAACATCCTTTCTGTTACTGTCACAAACATAGTCTGGGAACAAGCCCTATGAATTAGTCTCTGCCTCCATGCCTCCTGCCACTGCCGAGCAGGCTCCCATGACTGCATACCTGGGCAGCTGCACCAAGCGACTGTCCCTAGTCTCCCCGCCTCTGTCCCCCCGTCCTACAGACCAGGAGGTGACTTGCCCAAGGTTACACAGTTTGTTGCAAAAGCTGGGATTTGAACCCGAATCCCAGCTACTTAGAAAACAAATACACAACAGAGAGAAAATGTCTCAAGTTGACACGTAAAATCCTCTACATAATCATCTATCCTCCCCCATCATCGGCCTCCTCTCCCTCTGTTTCCTCAGACTGTCTTCAACCTTGGTCTGACCGCTCCGGGTCTCTGCCCAGCCAGGACCTGTCCTGTCACATCTTCACTCCCTACACAGGCCCTTGACTCCTCCAGCCTGCCATGTCCCCTGCCTGCCCCGCTGAGTACCCCGATCAGAGCCCAGCTCTCTGGGCAGAATGCTCACAGTTTACCTGATTCTCCTGATGCAGACCCCATTTCCCCCATCTTAATAAACCCTCACTGGTGAGCAGCCCTAGGCCCGCACTGCAACTGGAGGCCTGCATCCAATTGACTGAAGTGGGTGCTGATTTAAAAAATGGGCCTTGGGGCTCAGGTAAAAAGCAACTCCAATTTGCTAACTAAGCAAAAATATTCAACTTAAAATCATCCCAGAGATTTCTGACCCTCACAGCAATGGTAACAAACAGACTGCAGAATCAAAACATGGTAGCATCAAAGGAACTTTAGAGTGCACTGCAAGTAAACACTACATTTGGTAGGTTAGGAAACTGAGAGAGGAGACGTGACTTGAAAAAAAAAAAAAAAATATGGTTGATAGCAGAGTCACGCCTAGAACCCACGCTGGCTGAAGCCCATGTACCCAGGGACCCTTCATTCACCCATTTACCTAATCCTCTGCTGTCCCCTGGGGGGAAATAAGAAGACAGGAGAGAAAGAAAGAAACTTACAGCTTCTTCCAGGTGCTGCTGGTCTGGGTTATCATTCGGTGTGTGCCTCAGGATTTCTCGGAGGAGCAGAGGGTATTTGACCAGGCGGCTTCTCGGAATATCGAGGAAATTCCACAGATCTAGTTTGCGGCTGAAGGGGGATTCTAAGCATCGCTGAAGGAAATCCTGGACCCGGTGGTCTTGTTTCTTGTGGTCCAGCAGGGCTTTGGCGGCTACCTGATTGCTGCAGTAGCTGTCGTAGGAGCTGAGACAAGGCAGCTAAGAAAGGAACAGGAGAACAGGGTTGGAGTGTTACCATCAATGGAGCTACAGTTAACATCACTTGCTGGGACTGAACAAAGCCTAACTCCAGGCCTGGCCCACATTCCTTTATCTGCAAAGACTGAAGGACACAGACCAATGGAATCTTCAAGATGACAATGGAACAACGTCTTTTGGCTCTGATTTGCTTGCACAAAGTAACTGTTTTAATTGCATGTTTCCTTTCTTGATTGTTAGGGCCAACTTAATTTATTTTGATTAAAATCTGATTCAAATTTGTTTGCATTTCTGACAACCTAAGCTAGAAACAAAAGAACTCAAATTATTGCATATGCATATAGTTCATAATTTTCCTAAACTTCCAGAAGTATCTGGTGAGGGGAGAACATCCTAGTAAAAATTTTCTTTTAAAATTATCCATCAGAAATATATCTAGAAGACTTAGTGGCATAAAAAGAAAGCAAGCACCCAGATATGCAGCCAGCCCGTGGCAGAGCTTGGAGAAAGCACCTCAACTTTATTTTATTTATTTATTTATTTATTTATTTATTTATTTATTTATTTATATATTTTATTGATTTTATACAGAGAGGAAGGGAGAGAGATAGAGAGTTAGAAACATCGATGAGAGAGAGTCATCGATCAGCTGCCTCTTGCACACCCCATACTGGGGATATACCCGCAACCAAAGTACATGCCCTTGACAGGAATTGAACCCGGGACCCTTCAGTCCCCAAGCCGATGCTCTATCCATTGAGTCAAACCGGTTTCGGCAAGCACCTCAACTTTAGTTTAAGGTTGACTGCTTCAAAAGTTGACAGATTATAAAGAACTCCAAGAGGTTAGAGCAAACATGTAATTAGTAAAAAATGTGATGCAAGAAGCATTTAGTAGAATCTTTTACATTAGTTCTGACAGGCCAGGAATCATTCTTGGCTCTACCCAATGGTTAACATCACGCTACCAAGCAAAACACAACTTACGCTTAAAGACCTTGGGACACTTCAACCCCACTGTCTCCTTCCAGAAGGGCACCCAATACCAAGCCTCCTAAGGCACTGGCTGTCAGCTTCCAGAAAGTTCCTGGAGGCAATAAAACGCAGCCAACGGCCTTGCTGTGTGCTTCTCGCCCCCAGACTATGAAGCCACATCCACCAGGACACCTGCTCTGCAGTGGGATTCATTGCAAGACAGGAGCAAGAGAGTCTTTTGTTTCTGTATCCTCAGCACTTTGCACTGGGCCTACTGTACAGCAGTCTGTATTCTGAATTAACAAATAAATGAATGCTTAATGGATTACAGGATTAGAAAATATTTGATTATTTGGGAATACGGCTTAAAAATAAGTTGCGGCAGCATCTGAACCATAGGTCAAAGTTTTAAATATTTTGCTGCTTCTCTCTCTCTCTCTCTTTTTTTTTTTAAATATATTTTATTGATTTTGTACAGAGAGGAAGGGAGAGAGATAGAGAGTTAGAAACATCGATGAGAGAGAGTCATCAATCAGCTGCCTCCTGCACACCCCCTACTGGGAATATGCCCACAACCAAGGCACATGCCCCTGACCAGAATCGAACCCAGGACCTTTCAGTCCCCAAGCCGACGCTCTATCCATTGAGCCAAACCGGTTTCGGCTTGCTGCTTCTCTTACCACTCTTACTGAAATTATTTTCTCAGTGACTGAAACCAAAAACAGATACCAAGGAAGCAATGTTTAAAAAGTTCATTGTTGAGTTTGATATTCCTTGGAAACGTTTATCTTCCTTACATGTTATGAAAAACCTCTATTTGTGTTAAGAGTTGCAGAAATTCTTTCCTTAATCTTGTATGTGAAGGTGATCACACACACACACACACACACACACACACACACACACACACAGCAGATATGGTTTGTGGGTTGTAATTTAGATCTTCAGAGTTAATTAAAAGGAGCCTCAGGCCCTCTCAATTTCATTTCCACTTCCTCGCCTTTTAAAGAGACTTGGAAGGGCCTGATGTGGTCATTATATCAGCAGTAACCATCGGATGTAAACCAGTGAGGCCCAAAGACACCGCTGCTCAATGCCCAATGAGCCATTACTCTCTGTGATCCTGCCGCCCCCGCTGCCATGGCAACCAAATGGGGCTCTGGTCCTGTGTTCACACCTGACAGGGTGCTCATTTCCTGGGCATGACCTGCGAGGCTCTCTGGCGCAGTTCCCTGACTAGAAGAGGCCACAAGTGATCTACAGCTAGATAGGAGGTGAAGACTGTACACATCTCAGTTCCCAATTACATACACGTGCACCTATGTGAAATGTGAGCGGTGACAGACAACACAGTGGTGAAGAGGACAGACTGGGATGGGGGAGAATGATTTCAAAGCCTTAACTTGGGCTGTGACTAGTCAGGTGACCCTTCTGAGCCTCAGCTTCTCCACTTACAAAATGCACAGACTAATGTCCTCCTCTCCTTTAGTGAAATAAGCAGATAAAAAGTGTAGCACGAACGTGGCTCCTGGTTAAGAGTCAGTAAGTGCCAGCTATTATTATTATTTATCCCTGGCATATTTTATGGAAGAATCTGTGGTTTAGAGAAGCAAGACTACATTAGCTCAGCTGGAGACAAAACCAGTCTGAGTATGTTCTCTCCCCATCCCACCTGCAAAGCTCTGAACCCACCATCTCTTTAAACGGACGACCAAGAAAGAATTCACGAGGGAAACTCACTTTTTAAGAAATTCCTTCTGTCTCCCTAACAGTGTGAAAAGTGGCACAGAACAAATCTATATTTTTGCTTTCATGTGCCCCGCCTCTCTCCTTGGAATTAAAATGGAATCAGAACCCAAATTAACATGAGAACTTGTGCCTGGGAGAGCTTATAAATTATTTTATTACTGAAAAGAGTGTTAGTGTGAAGGTAAGTCACTTGGGAAGTTTTTTCTTTTTGATGGGGAGGCTGATGAGAGCAGGCTGACCCCACGGGGAGACTGATCCTCAGTAGCCAGGGAGGTTCCCTGAAAAAAAATAACACAATCCACCACTTCTGGAAGGTCTTCAAAGTAAAAGGCATCGATTCATTCAAAGGTCAAAAGGACTGGTCAGGGCTAACCCACTTGGCGGGCTCACTTGTTTAAAAGGCCCCCCCTTTTTTTCTTTGGGGGGGAATAAATCAATTTTTCATGGGTCAAATGGGCTCTGACTTTTCTCATTCAAAGTCACTAAGATGTTTATTTTGTTCTGTTAAAAAGACCAGAACTCAAACAGATGGACCCTTTGGTTTACAGTTCCCACTCGCACGGACACATCTGCAGTTAAAAGAGGAAAAACCTTTAACAGCTCGTCAGCCTGATAAACAAGAACCATTTCTATGAGGTCTGGTCACAACGGGCCAGTTGTTTAATTTCAGGATGCTCCTCAAGCTGCAAGTCCCACGGGATGTCTGAAGGATTCAGCTAACCATGGGCCGAAAGGACTGCAACAGCTACCCCTACAGCAAACCGATTTTCTTTTTTCTAAAATATATTTTATTGATTTTGTACAGAGAGGAAGGGAGAGATAGAGAGTTAGGAACATCGATGAGAGAGAGTCATCGATCAGCTGCCTCTTACACACACCCCACTGGAGATATGCCCGCAACCAAGGTACATGCCCCTGACCGAATCGAACCGGGGTCCCTTCAGTCCCCAAGCCGACGCTCTATCCATTGAGCCAAACCGGTCCCGGCGCAAACCGATTTTCTAATAAAAGTGACAAATATTTCTTTCAGAAAAAAAAAATAATAATAATAACAAAGCAAATGCCTCTACTTTTGCTTCTGACATAAACTGACAACTTGTATGTTGGTGTCTATGGAAACCATGCAGCTCTATGTTGCCATCTCACCAGAAACAGCAATCACCACGCTGATTCTGGAGTGGGGTCTCCCTGACCCCCCGGCTCCCATCAAAGCCGCCCGCAGACTCAGAAGTGTAAGCACAGGGAGCGCACCCTCTCTTCTCATCGCACCTTCTCTGTCTCCAGCTGTCTGGCTCTCTTTAGAGAAATTTCTTTGGAGCTGAAGAAGTTAAAACATCTTCCACAGCGTATAATAAAAAAGTGAAAGTCAAAAATATAAGACGAATGACCTCTCCTGAAATATTCAAGCACATTTTCTAAATTATTCATATGAGAACATTGCTTGCCTTTCAGATGCCCCTGGGATATTTCAGCCTTACTGCTAAAATTGACTCCCGAACTAACGGTAGCTAAGTCATGAAACCCTTCAAGTTTCTGCATCAAGGCAATAATAATTGAGAAGTGTAAGTTAATAGAAGAGGTCAATGTCAAAACTTAGGAACCAGCAGGTTTTAGGAAGGCTAAAAGACAAATGCAAATGGAACTGCATAAAGACAACTCACATGGGGAGAGTAGAATTCATAACCTTCACAACGTTCTCCAAACAGTGGACGACCCTAATACTTGCTGCTGTGGCAGTGTCTGCCTATTTTCTAGATCAGGGGTGGCAAACTCACTGTAGGCTCTCGCAATCATTTGGTCTGGCCCAGGGGTCGGCAAACTCATTAGTCAACAGAGCCAAATATCAACAGTACAACGATTGAAATTTCTTTTGAGAGCCAAATTTTTAAACTTAAACTTCTTCTAACACCACTTCTTCAAAATAGACTTGCCCAGGGTGTGGTATTTTGTGAAAGAGCCACACTCAAGGGGCCAAAGAGCCCCATGTGGCTCGCGAGCTGCAGTTTGCCGACCATGGGTCTGGCCAAAATAATTTAATTAAATATCTGGGGTGAGTTAATTAAATATTTGACCAAATAGAGCAGGCTAATTTTTAAGTTGGTAATTTTGTATGGCCTGCAAATGTTGCTATAAATATCCAAAATGGCCCTTGGCAGAAAAAAGGTTCCACACCCCTGTTCTAGATCACTGTGTGGATCAGAAGGATGAGAGACCTAAGCCTGTCTGGAAGGAGTCATCAGAGCACTCTGCGTTCACCACCTGGTTCAGAACAAATGGAAAACACCTGGGGCTGGGGTAGAACACTCCAGTATCCACAGACGGAAAGAGAAGCATGCCATAGGAGTGATAGGGACTGTGACATGAGAGTACATGCCTGGTCCAAAATAAATAAATGAACAACCACCTTATGGACCCAATAAAACACACATTCAGCCCAGGACCATGAATTTGGAAGCCCTGATCTAAGGTCACAGCTGATCTCTTCAATTCGGAAAGGAAAGGGTTATACAGTATTGAGATGAAGGTCAGCATTCTAGCCAGCTCTCCTATGAAGTCTCTTAGAATCAGATATATGCTAAACAACAACATTTAGTCATCACCTTGTTTATGAAACTACATTTGGCTATAAGAGGTTTTTTGATAGCCTGAATAAAAGCTTTTCTAAGGCCCTGGCCAGTGTGGCTCAGTGGTTGAGCTTAAACCCATGAACCAAAAGGTCATGGGTTTGATTCTCCGTCCGGGCACCTACCCTGGTTTCTGGTTCAATCCCTGATCGGGTGCTTATAGGAGGCAATGGATGGATGTTTCTTTCTCACATCAATGTTTCTCTCTCTTTCTCCCTTCCTCTCTCTATTAAAAAAATCAATATAAACATATATTTTAAAAATATATTTAAAAGTGGTGGTGGTGTTTTTTTTTTTTTTTTTTTTTTTTTTTTTTTTTTTTTTTTATCATGATGGATAGGAATATGCCCCTAAATTTGTACTGGAATAGAATTTGTAATAATTAAATTGGCCTGAGTAGAACATTAACTAATGTTACTTTATTTTACTGGAAAAAAGGGCATGTTATCTTTAAATGCAATAAATGTGTAATAAGAAAAAAAATTATTTTCCTTGCTTGGAAGAGATACAGCCTAACTATAATGATAAGTTTTACAAGGAATTTGCTGTTTTGTTCGTTTCTGGTGTGAAATCAGTGTTTGCTAATAATAAAAAAAAGTCTAGCTAATATGAAACTCCATTTCAGTGATTGACATTTATCTTCAATCAAGACCAGAGAACTTTTCTTACCCAGCCCACGAGGATGGCACCGACGTGTTCAGTTGAGCCATCAGGCTTCCGGACATCTCGAAGCTGACTGAGGAGCTCTGGTAAACAAACAGAACGCTTATGTCGTTAGGCACTCAAACACGAAGGAGGCTGGAGGTAGGTTCTGGGTTACTCATATTATTACATAATCATGACTTGTATAAGGCAGCTCAATTAAGGCTACAAGTCACAACTCATCCCGGGAACAAAATTATACCTTCGTGAAGAGGAATCAGGGAGTCCAGTGTTCCAAAAATCTGATTCAACTCCTGCTCTGTCATTATGGAGAGCTTCAGCATGGGGTCGTGATAGGCCTGCGCGAGAACCACAAGAGATGGAAGCAGACATTGAAACTCGGAGGAAGTAAGTTGTTCATGTAAATGGCTTCTGAGAGGCCCTGAGAATAACAGAATGTTTGGCTCTCCCCAGCAAGTTCTTCCATGATTCTGCAGAAACAGCAGAGGGGTGTGGCTGGAGCAGATGGGAGTCCAGCATTGCCTTAAGTCTTTTGTGGTTGTTAATAAACCAAAGTAGAATTTTTTTTTTAATTCCTGTATCATACATCTAGGAAAGGGCACAAATCCTAATTATAGAGCAGATTTGATTTGTATGTTTTAAAAATTAACATTATGACCACCTCTTATTAATGATAATTAACCCACAAGAACACCCAATTATTTATCAGGGTACTGTAATAAAATGGCACAGTCCCTGCCTTCAAGATTTATAAAGTTAACTGGGAAGATAAAACACACGGCAAGTTAAACATATGTTTAAAAAATAGTTCAAGCCCAGATGGGTGTGGCTAAGTGGTTAGAGCATTGGCTCATGCACAGAAGGGTCCGGGATTCGGTTCCCAGTTAAGGGCACATACCTGGGTTGCAGGTCTGATCCCCAGCCCTAGTCTGGGCAGGTGCAGAAGGCAACCAATTGATGTGTCTCTTTTACATTACTATTTCTTTCTCTCTCCCTCTTTCTCCCACCCTTCCTTTTTCTCTAAAAAATCAATGGGAAACATATCCTCAGGTGAGGATTAAAAAAAAAAAAAAAAAAGACTACATTGGCTACAAGACATGGGTTTCATTTCATCCATCTTCCCACACACCATGTGATTAAAAAACAAATTTCCATATAAAAGATCCTAACTTACATGTTAGTACACAAGTGACTCACTTAACCATATTATCCACTTATGAGATTCCAATGACTATTTCTAACACACAATTCCAGTTTCAGCCCAACTACCCTTACTCTCCTGTAGATAAGGAGGCCCTGCACGTGCAACTTCTAGGACCACAAAACATAGCTACAGCCAGGCCTCCACCAATTTTCTGATTAAACTGAAGTACCCTTTGAGGTGCCCTGGAGGCATGCAGAGGAGAACCCTTAAAGGTGCCGGGACCAGAGGGCCTTCTTGTTTTGAGCCCTTTGCCTCACTGCGTGGCGTGTGCAGGTTCTTCTCAGTTCTGGATGACCTCAGTCATATACGGAGTGCTCGGAAAGACACCTTAGAATTGTGACGTTAGAGGGGAAAAACACAAGGTGACGCACACGACCACTGGATTTAAATTTACCTTTTTCGCCAATTTCAAGTCCTCTATCAAGTCCTCTTCTCCTTGGGAGAGCTCAAAGATTGCCTGCGAGGGAAGATAAAACACATCCACTGAAGTAGCTCACGTATGAGACCAAATTCAAACAGAGCTGGCTCCAGCGCTCAAAGCTCCAAATCTACTCATTTTTTAAGTTATTTTTAAAGGATTCTTATTTTTTAAAAAAAAATATATTTTATTGATTTTACAGAGAGAGGAATTAAGAGAGATAAGAGAGTTAGAAACGTCGATGGGAGAGAGTCATCAATCAGCTGCCTCTTGCACACACACCCACTGGGGATGTGCCCGCAACCAAGTGCCCTTGACCGGAATCGAACCCGGGACCTTCCAGTCCGCGGGCTGATGCTCTATCCACTGAGCCAAACTGGTTTCGGCTTTAAAGGATTCTTAAAAAGTCAGATTGACCTGCAGCAAATGGATCGTGTGGCCAGAACCTACCAAGGAAAACTTCTGAATAATGTGCTTATCTGTTTGTGGGATAAAAGGACTCCACCATAGGTGTCCAATCCAACAAGTCGTCTTTCATGCCGTGGAACTCTGATGCAGCCCAACAAGAGGGAACTATTTTAGGTGAAATCGTTACAGATTGAGCCATGAATGGATACGAGTTTGTGGTGAGTGGCAATCGGGGTGAAGGACTCGGGGCCTGTTTTCAGCGGTGGATGTGGCAGCATTATTAACTGAGCCATCGCCATTTGTCTTGCTTCTGCTCAACACGAGGTGCATCTCAACGGGAAGCTTTTCTTATCAGCTACTTGTCCTGAGGCTGGAATTATAGGAAGAGTCTAATATTTTATCGCTCTACATGTCTGGTGAAGTTAATTCATTCTCAATTACTTTGCAGCCCTACACGGCACAATAAATAAAATTACAGGAGCCGGCCGTGTGCAAGAGTGCGTCAAGGGACCAGGTCTAATTGGCTCTATGACGCCATCATGATTTAAAAGCTATGGTGTGCAGACCGCCCTTTCACCCTCCTCTGGGAGTCTAAGCGGTGGCAAGCATTACGTTATGGAAAGACCGCATGTGTGTGGGGCTAGCTCGGGGACTCCTGCATCTCCTGCAGCCGGCAGGGCAGAAGGGAGCAGGGTGGAGGACCCCTCCATCCCTGGGGTTGGCAGAGCTGGACACGCGCCGGAGGCCAGGACACGGTGTCCCTCCAAGGCCCAGGAAGGTCTTGACGCCATGCCCTCCTGCTACTCTATTTTGTTTAATCTCTTATTTTGAAATAGAGACTCACACATACATCTTTTCATCTGTGCATAAGTGTGCCTAGCAGACAGATTCCTAGAAAAGAATTGCTGAGTCAAAAACCTAGAAAGTTTTCAAGTACTCCCTTTTCCAAGGTCAAGTTTGCCTCAAAAACAGGATTTCACGAAATGATGCACATTTGAAGTGTTTAGCACAGCCTGGTTCGGGATGAACTCTCCATAAAGGGTAATATGATCATAGCCATTTAGGGCTATTGATACAGAAAACTTATAAGGAAATGAAATTAACTGCATTCCCTAGAAAAGTTTTCCACAACACTGAATCACTCAAAGTTTCATTTACTAAATATTTTAAAATATTACAGAAGTTGCTATCAAGATGTTACTAAATGATTATGATTGCTTTTGTGAATTCTAGGATCCAAAATAGACACGTCCCCATTCACCTTCTTTGTAAATTCAGATGTTCACATCAGTTTCTTTTTCCAGTGGGGGCACACCCACCCAGCTGAATGCTGGTTTCTCGGTTCCTTAAAAGGTCTGACACCCCCATTTGTCCTCCTTCTACAGATGCCAAGGAGAACTGATGGAAGGAGGGGTGTGGACCTGCTGTGCACCTGCTGCCAGGCACAGCGCCAGCTCCGTGGGCCCCAAGCCTACCTCCTGACGTTTGATTTCCTTGGATGTAAGCATCTGGTTGACGCACACGTCGAAGGTCTCACTCCACAGCTTGCTGTCTCGCCGCTTGGTGCTCGAGGGGGCGGCATTTCGGGACCAGGGCCGGGGGGCGAGGATGTCGGGGCGGCTCTCGCTGCGGAAGCTGATGGAACGCTGAACGATAAGAAAAACAAACCGTCACGGGGCAGCAGGACGGGGTGGATCACTTGAGCAGCTTCCTGTCCCTGACAGAACACAAATCAGACATCTGCAAGAAAGAGGGGACGATGCCAGAGGCCTTTTGGGAAGGAGGGCATTGTCTTGTGCCTACATACTAAGGGAAACTGGGCAGGGGGCCACTTTCCCACACGTGCGGGGAGTATCCACGATTTGGTTAAGCACAAGGATAGAGAGCTTCACCAATAAAAAAACGGCTAAAGGAGTTCATCACCACCAAACCAGAATTATATGAATTGCTGAAGGGGGTTCTTTCAGAAGAGAAAGTAAATAAAGATAAAAATTATGAACAACAAATACGTAACTATCAACAAGTGAATCTAAAAACCAAGGGAATTAAAAAAAATCTGATGAACAATATTAACTGGTGAATATAATAGAATCAGAGGTATGGAAGGGGAGTGAACTGACGATTCTTGGGGAAAAGGGGAGAGGGGGATGTGGGAAGAGACTGAACATAAACTGCACCTATGGATGAGGACAATGGGGAGTGGGGAAAGGGCAGAGGGTAGAGTGGGAACCTGGTGGAGAAGAGCAATGGTGGGGAAGAGGGGGTGAAAAGGAACATTTGTAATAATATGAACAATAAAAACTTATTTAAATAAAAAAAAGAACATGCACAAAGGCAGCTCTCGGACAAGCGACGGGTCTGCTTTTTTCCCATTAAACATTTCCACTGCTCTTCAGAAGAACAGCAATCAACAGTAGTAGATGTCCTTAAAAGAATTCTACTCTTCCTCTCCTCCTCCTCCTGGGAACAGAATCCCACTCTCTTTGCTATTCTATCTGACTTCCTGTGGCAGGGCTCCCCCAGACCTGACCAGTCAGAGTGCTCCCCCCTGGTTCTGGAAGGGGCCTGTGAGTCCCTGACATTTCATGAGTCATGGGAGAAAGCGTGAAAGACTCTTTATTCTTTTGGGATGGTGAGCTCCAAGAGTTAACGTAAGCAGAAGTTTCTTTGCAGCTACGCTCTCTGGTCACAGAGAAGAGTCAGTCTGATATAGGAAGGAATAAACGGGCATAGAATGAAGGATGGAGAGACACACCAATGGAGGGCGTGGAGGAGGGAACAAGTTTTATCCACAGGGTGAGAGTACCCAGATCCCACTGTGCTTGAAGCCAGGAAGAGCCAGTCTTAGACTAAGGGGCTTAATACATCCTCCTTTCTGTTTGCATTCATCTCAGTGAAGGTTCTGCCAACTTAAAAGTACCAACTAATGCACATACTATGTATCAAGCAAATGATGCCTGTCCCCGAGTTATTTTCCAAAGAGGTCCCAGTCTAACTGCCCAAAGTGCACCCTTATGGCTGGAACATGCTACCACAGTGCTTTCTCTTGACAAATACAAATGATCAAGAAGACAGCGTCATATTCAGCCTTCAGCCTAAATTCCAAAACATTTATTAGAAAGTTTGCTAAAACAATGAGGTGTTCACGGTTTGATTCCTGATCAGGGCACATGCCCGAATTGCAGGTTCGATTCCCAGAAGGGGATGTGAAGAGGTAGCTGACCAAGGATTCTCTCATCATTGATGCTTCTCTCTCCCTCTCCCTTCATCTCTGAAATCAATAAAAAAAATATTAAAAAACAGCCGAGACCGGTTTGGCTCAATGGATAGAGCGTCGGCTTGGGGACTGAAGGGACCCGGGTTCGATTCCAGTCAAGGGCATGTACCTTGGTTGCAGGCACATCCCCAGTTGGGGGTGTGCAAGAGGCAGCTGATCGATGACTCTCCCTCATCGATGTTTCTAGCTCTCTATCTCTCTCCCTTCCTCTCTGTACAAAATCAATAAAATATATTTAAAAATATTAAAAAAAACAAACAAACAAACAATAAAACACCCACATTCTTACTTAGCTAGTGCTCCCTGCCGTGGCTGTGGCCACCTATCTATTGCCTTCAGTATAAATTCCCAACTCTTCAGTGTGGTGCAGAATGCCTCCTATAATCTGACCAGAGCATACATGTATATAGTATCACTTCCTGCAACTCACCCATTCTCTAGCCCTACTATGGTATTTCTAGCCCTAGTAGACTATCTGCCATTCCCTACATGCATCATGCTTTGCCATCTTCTGTGCTTCTTTCAAGAAGTCTTTTCTGCCGATACTGGTTTGGCTCAGTGGATGGAGCGTCGGTCTGCGGACTGAAGGGTCCTGGATTCGATTCCGGTCAGGGGCATGTACCTTGGTTGGGGGCACATCCCTGGTGGAGGGTGTGCAGGAGGCAGCTGGTCGATGTCTCTCTCTCATTGATGTGTCTAGCTTTCTATATCTCGCCCTTCCTCTCTAAAAAAATCAATAAAATATATATATATTTTAAAAAGAAGTCTTTTCTTTCTAGAAAGCTTTTCTTCCATTTCTTACCTAGTTAATTCCTGACTGTCTTCAGACACCTCCCCTAGGAAGGCTTTACCAATGTTCTCCCATGCTCTCCTAGAGCAATTTGGACATGTTGCTGATACAGTAACAATCACATTTTATTATACTTAGTGGTCACCTGCTCTGAATTATAGATTTACTGAGGGCAAGAACTGATTTTATAGGTGACATATGTGTCATCCTCACGAAGATATTATGAGATGGCTTCCAAATATTTTAAGATTCAACAAAACTTACAAAAGACATTTAAAAATATATATTTTATTAATTTTTTTACAGAGAGGAAGGGAGAGGGAGAGAGAGCTAGAAACATTGATGAGAGAGAAACATCAATCAGCTGCCTCCTGCACACCCCCTACTGGGGATGTGCCTGCAACCACGGTACATGCCTTTGACCAGAATCGAACCCGGTACCCCTGAGTCCACAGGCTGACTCTATCTACTGAGCCAAACTGGTTAGGGTTACAGAAGAAATTTTTAAGACAACTATTCACTTGAGGACATTGCTAAATCAAGTATAACTCATCTGCTTAATGGAATATTATGTAGTCATTAAGACAATTCTGAGCTAATTTACTGGACAACTTTAACAGCTGAAAATGCAAAAACAAGATTAAATCAGTATATGAGCCCGGTTGGTATGGTTGAGTGTTGACCTAAGAACAAAGAGATCACAGTTCAATTTATGGTCAGGGCACATGCCTGGGTTGTGGGCTTGATCCCCAGTGTGAGGTGTGTAGGAGGCAGCTGATCAATGATTCTCTCTCATCATTGATGTTTCTATCTCTCTCCCTTCATCTCTGAAATCAATAAAAAAAATTTAAAAATCAGTATATGAACAGTTTATGATCATAAAAAATGCATATGAGCAAAGAGAATGCCACAAAGCTATTTTTTTTTTAATATTGGTAATTTTTATCCTAGTTTACACATTTAAAATAAATTTTGGTAATTTTTATTCTAGTTCACACATTTTTATAATTCAAGAAAAATGAGTAAGTGAAAAATGTAAAAAGAAATTTCCAAGGGGCCTCAGGGTGTTACCAGCAGGAAGCCAGCTCTGCCTGCAAGTAGCAACACAGCTCCTGAGGCTGGCCTGGCAGCCTTGAGCTGCTGGGCTCGTTAACCAGCTCCGGCTCCCAGCTGCTGGACCAGCCCCGGGTTGGTCAAGACCGTACTTGCTCCAAACACGCACTTCCCTAATGGAATCTCCTGAATCCTGTGATCTGCAAACAGGCCCTCTGAGAGAGGAGCAGACTGAAGCTGAGATCTCCAGCACGCAGAATCAATGAGCCATAGGCACGGAAAGGTCAAAACAAGCAAAGTGAGTCATCAAATAACCCACTCATCTCCGCTAGTGGTTCTGATCCCCGCCCGGGGGAAGGAGAGTTAAAGAGCAGCGAGAGGGCACACAGAAAGGCAGATTCGAATGAAAGACATTTTCCACTTTCACTGGAGAGACTCAACCACCCACCTGTTAGTGCCGACAAACTTCAAAATCCCCCTCCCCACCAACAGTTTGAAAGTAACTTATGCTAACTTTAAATTTCCGTACGTTACCAAGTATATAAAATTAAGTACATGAGGGCTAGGGCATGTGCCAGGGGGTGGGAGTGGGCGGGGAGAGGTCAATGGGGACAAAGGAGACATATGTAAAACTTTATTCAATAAATAATTAAAAAAAAAAGAGAAATGTGTAAAAAAAAAAAAAAAAGAATTAAGTACAAATCCTCTATTTTCAAGTCCACTTAACAGACGTAAATGCTATTAAGTTTGTTCCAGATCTTGTCAAACCTCTTCTTCCCAATTGCTAACATTCACAGAAAACAGAAAGTTTTATCTTTTCATTTAACAATGTCTTTCCATGTTATATCGTCCTAGTGGGTGTTCAGTGTAGGCCCTGGCACTGAAGGGTCTCAGGTTTGATTACTGGGCTTGCAGGTTCGATCCGTGGCCCTCGTTGGGGCTTGTGCAGAAGGCAACCAATTGATGTGTCTCTCACATTGACGTTTCTCCCCTGCCTCCATTTCCTCCCTTCCGCTCTCTAAAATAATCAGTGGAAAAATATCTTTGGGTGAGGATTACCAAAAATAGTAATAAGAATAAGAATTTATCGAGGTGAAACTTCACACAACATAAAATGAACAAAATTTCAAGTGAGCATATTTTCATCTATAAATTGAGAACTCCCAGAGAGTTGGAGATTTTCCTCTGTTGCAGTTTGAAGAAAAATGAGTGAGCCATGCCAGGTGAGCTCTGTTGCTGTGTTTCCTTGGTGATTACCAGGCTTGGGAACTAAGGGGAAGGACCATGTATGTCATACACGGGCCGTTGCATGCCTCCCACGCTTAGCACTTGTGGTGAGTTCTCTCTGGTCCTCACAACCGCCCTGCAAGGTGGGGACTGATTCCCACTTTATGATAAGGAAACGGAGGTTCAGAGAGAGTGCCTAATGAAAGAATGGCATGTGGTATGTGCTGGCCATTGAGAGGGGAGCTGCAGAGAGTCTAACCCTGTTTTGCACACGGGGAAACGTGAGGTTCAGAGAGGGT